GAACATACCTCCTCCAACAAGGGTACACCTACTCCAGTCAGGTCACACCCTCTAATCCTTCCCAACAGTCTACCAGCTGGGAATCAAGCATTCAGATTTATGAACCTGTGGGGGCCAATCTCATTCAAACCACCGCAACACCAACACCTATGAGAGACAGTGAAAGCAGTCCCAAGAGTGAGGTTCACAGGAATAAGTGGCTACGTCAATCAGAAAGATCTCAAATAAACCTTCGGCCTTGGAGAAATAAGAACGAGTCAACCCTCAAATCAGTAGATCTGAAGAAATAATTAAAATCAGGACAAAAGCTGATGAAGAAGAAATGAAAAAAAAAATACGAAGAATCAATGAAACCAAGACTTTCTTTTTCTGAAAAGATAAACATGATTGACAAACCCTTTGTGAAACTAAATGAAAGAAAAACGAACCTAAAGTAATACAATGAAAGTGAAAAGGGAGACATTACAAAAGATAACAATGAAGTTCAGAAAATCATGAGGACATGTTTAAAAACTTGTATTCTGCTAAACTGGAAAATCTAAAAGGAAGGACTAGCTTTCTAGAAAAGCAATTCTCAATGGGGGGGGGGGGGGTGGTGACCCTTTTACAAGTGTCCTCTATGACTGTTGGAAAACACAGATATTTACATTACAATTCATAACAGTAGCAAAATTACAGTTATAAAGTAGCAATGAAAATAACTTTATGGTTGGGGGTCACCACAATATGAAGAACTGTATTAAAGGGTCACAGCATTAGGAAGGTTAAGAAGAACTGTTCTAGAGGCATATGACCTACAAAAGTTAATAAATTAAAACAAATGGGGCAAATGCTTTTAAAGAGATCAACAACAAGCAACTGGACTGAAGCCTTCATTTAAAAAAAAAAAATCTAGCCGGGCGGTGGTGGTGCACGCCTTTAATCCCAGCACTCGGGAGGCAGAGCCAGGTGGATCTCTGTGAGTTCGAGGCCAGCCTGGGCTACCAAGCGAGTCCCAGGAAAGGCGCAAAGCTACACAGAGAGACCCTGTCTCGAAAAACGAAAAAAAAAAAAAATCTAGGCCTGAATGAATTTGTTGTATAATTCTACAGGACCTTTAAGAAAGAACTAACCACATATCCTTCTCCAATAACATAAATGGACTTGAGGACAAAGATCACATGACTATATCAATAGATGCAGAAAAGATCTTTGACAAGATCCAACTTCTTTTCATAAAACCCTGACGAGACTAAGAATGAAAGATGTCCTCACACAATCAAGTCTACACATGACAAACCTCTAGCCATAGCCAGCATCACATTAAATGGAGAAAGACTCAAAGCATTTTCATGAAGATCAGGAACAAGACAAGAGTGCCACTTTTCTTCACTCTCACTCCGTAGAGTACTAGACATCTTAGCTAGAGCCATAAGACGAGAGAAACAGGTTAAAGAAGTACTTTCAGAAGAAAAAATTGAATGCAAATAGGAAAGGAAGAAGTTCAGTTATCTTTATTTGCGGATGCTATGATACATAAGAGACCCTAAAGACTTCATCAAGATACTCTTACAACTGATAAACACTTTCAGAAGTGCCAGGGTACATAATTAACAAACAAAACCCGGTAGTCTTCGCATCTGTTGATGACAAACATACTGAGAAATACAGGGCAACACCATTTATAATAGGCTAAAAAAAATTACCACGGACAAAACCTAACCAAGGAAGCCAAAGACTTCTGTAATGAAGACGTGAAAACATCGAGGAAGCTGAGGACGATACTAAAAGATGGAAAGGTTTCCCATTCTCATGGATCAGGAGGATTAATATTGTAAAAATGGCCGTCTTAACCAAAAGCCATCTAAGGGTCTGATGAAATCTCAATCGAAATTCCAACGTCGTTCTTCAGAGAACTAGAAAAAAAATCTAAAATATCTTATGGAAACACAAAAGCCCCCAGACACCCAAAGCAAACCTGAACAAAACAAAAGTACGGGAGGCATCACCACAACTGATTTCAAGTTATCTTACAGAGCTACGGTAATAAAAACAGCATGGCAGTGCTGCACAAGTGCTCACTTAACCAGTGGACAGAAGGACCAGGTAAAGGACCACACAAGCACCACCACATAATTTTTGACAAAGGTGCCAAAAATATATGTTAGAGAAAAGACAGCCTCCTAGACAAATGCTGCTAGGAAACCAGATAGCCACGTGTAGAATGAAAAATTAAACTACATTTGTAAATCCCACTCTCAACAAAAATCAATTCCAAGTGAATCGAAAATCTTAAAGATCTGAAGCTGCTGGAGGAACTGCAAGATGAGGCCCAGGGAAGGACTTTCTGACCAGGACTCCAGTCCCTCACAGGATAAAGCCACCAGTCAACAAATGAGACCTCAAGAAATCAAAAACCTTCTGTATAGCAAAGGAAAGAGTTGAGAGAAAAAGACAGTCTGTAGATGGAAGAAGTTCTTTGCCTGCTATGCATGTGGTACAGGATTAATGTATAGAATATACAAAGAAACAAAAAAAAAAAAACCTAAACAAGAGAAGGAATAACCCCATCAAAAAATTGGCTATGTTGGCTGGGCATGGTGGCACATACCCTTAGGTCCAGCACTGGACAGGCAGTAGTAAGCAAGTCTCTGAGTCTGAGGCCTACCTGATCAACACAGCAAGTTCTAGGATAGCCAGGGTTATATAGGGAGACTCTGTCTCAAAAAGTCAAGAAGGAGCTGGGCGGTGGTGGCGCACGCCTTTAATCCCAGCACTCGGGAGGCAGAGCCAGGCGGATCTAGTGAGATCCAGGACAGGCACCAAAATTACACAGAGAAAACCTGTCTCGGAAAAAAAAAATGACATTTGCTAAGCTTAGTTTTTTTAATTTTTTTTAATTTTAATTTTTTTGTGTATATGTATGTTATGATGTACACATGGAGGTAGGAGGACAATTTGCAGGAGTCCTTTCTCTCTGTCCACCACCTGGGTCCTGGGGATCAAACTTACATCATCAAGCTTGTTAGCAAACACCCTTACCCACTGAGCCATCTTGCTGGCCTTTGGTAAGCTACTTTTGAAAATAAAAAATTTCAAACAGTTTGGAGGTACCTTGTATGGATGTATAAAGCTATTCCGGAAGGCATGGGCTCTTCATGGAAAGTCTCAGTGCCAAGAGTGGGCTGCCATAACATTATAGAAAACTGTCATTACTGCTGGTTGCTCACCATTAATGGTAAGATCCTATTACTGAAGACAGCACATGTTCTGGTAGCAAGACCTAGAGACATCAAGCTGGGCTAGACCAGAAGTGTGCCCTCTGCCAGTAGCCCTCCAAGTGTAGCTGGGGAGAAACTGTCCTTGTTGTTTTCTATTTATTTCTTTTGTGTGTATGAATGTTTTGCCTGCGTGTATGCAAGTATACCATGTGCGAGTGTCAGAGCCCCTGGAACTGAAGATACGGATTTTCTTACGAGCTACCATGTGGGTGCTGGGAATCAAACTGGGGTCCTCTTCATCGGTGAGCCAGCTCCACAGCTCCTGTCATCAAGTCTTGCTCAGATGAGGATGCTGCGTGCTACACTACCAATTAGCCACTCAGAATTATACTCACTGGCACAACAGTGGCAGGTCTGCTATGCGGGCAACCAAGCAGATTCTAATCAGATCTGAGGCCCGCTCTAGGGAAGAGAATTCATGTCTGGTACCTTAAGCCTGGTCAAAAGCCCACGGCTGGGGAGGTCATGGGCTCCAGTGTAGAATCTACTGCTATAGCTCTGCTCAACAGTCCGGATGGGCCTGTCAGGTAACTGTGTTAATGTCTATAGAACAACACTGCTGTCGGCATCAGAGAAGCTTCTTTCTGCAGTGAGCAGGGGTAACTGCAGAGACTCATAGTCGGTCAACGTGATGAGAATAGTGAGTTTTGAATTCTCACCCATACATGGGGCATCTACATCATCCCTTCCAAGCCTCGGGGAACTTTGCAGAAGGGGAGAAAAGAATGTAAGAGCTGGAGGAAGGTGTCGAATGTGTGGAACACTGACTTCCAGGTATGACGTGGCCTCACTCTCTTGCCCTCACAACGGCCATAATTATCGGCATAAAATCTCCACATTAGGCCAGCCAACATCCTGTCATGGAGGGGGAACGAGCTCACAATGTCTCACCCACTCCCTGAGGATTTATCCGCAGTTAATGATTATGGGGTAGGGGTGGACATTTTCTTCAGTGGTGTAGCCACTAGTAAGGCACTTCTCCAGACAACTCCTCGCCCACCCTCTGTAAGCACCCTAGTGAAATCCGCTGGGCTATTGTTTTAAAGAGATGAAATTACAAGAGGGACTAATTGGGATGAGGAAGGGAATTGGTGAGAGTGGGATGGGAACAAGAGAAGGTAACAGGTGAATATAAACAAACACAAGTATGAAAATATAATGAACCTGTTTGCATAATTCATATATACTAATTTATTTGTTGGGTTGGTTTTTTTGAGACACCGTTTCTCTATGTAGTACTGGCTGTCCTGGAGCTCACTATATAGAACAGGGTGGCCTCAGACTCACAGAGATCTTCTCGCCTTCGCCTCTAGAGTGCTGGAATTAAAGGCATGTGCCACCACATCCAGCTCAGTATATACTAATTTTTAAAATATGTATGTGTGGATAAGATTGAGATGATTTGTGCATAACTGTTCTTTCTATTGGTCTTTCTACTTCTGAGATGTTGGAAAATATTTTATAATAAAGAGTTGACATTTCTAATTATGAAACCCTCTTATGAAGCGCTAGAATTCGAGGATACATCAACAGGTAGATAAACCAAAAAGAACAACTTCCCTTATGCTATGCCCTTCTCCCAAGGAATCCAGCCTCATGGTGAACTGAGGAAAGGAGAGAAAGCAGGACAGGAGGAGGGCTCGCCATCCCAGCAGGAGGGGCCCACCAGCTGGCCTAGCTGAGGCTCCCTGTGAGTCTTCCATCCCTCCAGTTGCCATGACAATATACTTGTGATGATACCTTCAGTCACAGGGATAGAGTGAGGCTCTCCGCCCCACTGGCTGCCCAGGTAGAGAACAAAGGAGAAGAACACAGTGTCGCTCATCTTTGCCACAGCCAGCACACCATCAGGGAAGAACCATTCTCCTAGATTTCTCGAAGACCCAACAGCCTTGAGTTCCAGCATGGTGTGGAATCTGTGTTCTGTGAGGTCATACAGAACACAGGGAAAGGAGTGTGTCTGTAGTCAGGGACCAAGTGGGATGCTAGTGGCCCTCAGATAGTCTCTCTGTTCTTTGCTTGGTTCTCTGAGGCCTTCCTCAGTCCTGCATGCCCTGTGACCTGAAGATGGGAATGTATCAACAGGACTCAGGATACACAGGACAAACTCCACTGTGGCCTCTAAAGCCAACAGAAAGCAGCTAGAGCCACCAGGAATACTGTACTGATAATACATCACATTAACAGGCAGGATGTACCTTGGTGGTAACGAGCTTGCTTGGCATATATGAGGCCCTGAGTTGGATCCTCAGCATCAAGAAAACACAAAGGTATCACATTCACTAAAGGTTGAACCTGGAAGGGCCACATGTTAAAGATCTGGTCACCAGTCCATGGTACTGTTGGAGATGGTCAAACTTTTAGAAGACGAGACTTAGCTGAAAAATCACCAGAGGTGGGATAAACAGGGATGGGGTTCACATACATTTGAATGCTTAGTCATCGGGGATGGCATGACTTGAGAAGGATTAGGAGGTGTGGCCTTGTTGGAATGGGTGTGGCCTTGTTGAAGGAAGTATGTCATTGCAGCTTTGAGGTTTCAAAGCCCATGCCAGGCCCAGTGTCTCTCTCTTCCTGCTGCCTGTGGATCTGGATAAAGAACTCTCAGCTACTTCCCCAGCACCATGTCTGCCTGTGTGCCACCATGCTCCACCCCATGATGATAATGGGCTGAACCTCTGAAACTGTAAGCCAGCCCTAATTAAATGTTTTCTTTTATAAGAATTGCCATAGTCATGGTGTCTCTTCACAACAACAGAATAGTGACTAAGACAAGGGGATATTGGGACCCTGACCCATTCTGCTTCTTGGCCATCATAAGGGGAGCAGCTTGTACTATCAAGTACTCTTACTGCCCACCATGATGTTCTGTTTTACCACATGCCTAAAAGCACTGGGTCCATGGACTGGAGTCTGCAAAACTAGGAGTCACAGTAAACATCTCTTCTTAAGTTGGCTGCATACAGTATTTTGTCACAGTGGTAACTGGCCTACCCTGTACAATAAAAGTATAGCACCCAAAAGATAATAAAGCACATAATTTAAAAATAGCACATAAATGTGCCAGGCATGGTGGCGCACACCTTTAACCCCAGTACTCAGGAGGCAGAGACAGGTGAATCTCTGTGAGTTCGAGGCCAGCCTGGTCTACAGAGTGCGTTCCAGGACAGCTAGGGCCACATAGAGAAACCCTGCCTCAAAAAAAAAAAGAAAAAGAGAAAGAAAGAAAAGAAAAGAAGAGCATAAATGTTTTGATGCAGTTATTCCATTTCTCATAGGCCACTATGTCCTCTATTAAGTTTTAGAAGCGCTGGGCTATTTTCTAGTATTTTTTTCCTTTAGTGCTAGTCTCACAAATTATGTAGCCATCCCTGTATGTGCAGTGACTATGGCCAGGGGATAAACAGTGTGAAATGGCTAGGATGGAGGAGATCTTCTGAAGACGAGAGAGAGAGAGAGAGAGAGAGAGAGAGAGAGAGAGAGAGAGAGAGAGAGGTGGGGAGAGCTGGAGACATGGCTTAGCAGTTAAGAGAACTTGTGCAAGCTTATGTATCCATTTGGATTGGAGTTCAGATCCCAGCACCCACATAAAAGCTAAACATGGTCCTGAGCATACCTGTAACCATAGCACTAAGACAGACAGAGACAGGGTTGCTGGGGCTTGTAGCCAAACCTAACTGAAAATGAGAGCTCCAGGTTCAGTGAGAGACCCTGCCTCAAAGGAACAAGAAGGAGAGTCAGAGACACATGTGCATACACCACATGCATACATGACATATAATAGACACAGAACTCTTGCTAACCTTGATGTATTAGCTTGCTACAGCCACTATAGCAAAGTACCACAAAATGAGTGATGTAAACAACAAATGTATTCCCTGCTCTGGAGACCAGAGTCTGAGATCAAGGTGTTGACAACACTGGGTCTTTCTGCAGGACAAGGGGAGAAGATCTCTTCCAGGACTTGGCCTGAAGGCAGCCATCTGCTCCCCGTGTCTGCAACATCATTTTCCCTCCATACACATCTGGGTCCAGTGGCCTCTTAGTAGGACATCTTCTGCCACACTGGACTACAGTCCACCCTTGTAGCCTCGTTTTGACTTCTTACCTCTGTAAAGACTCTAAATCCAAATACACTCATATTCTAAGGCCCCAAGGTTAGGATTTCAGCATCTAAATGTGGACACAATTCAACCCATCACATCAGAGAGAGCTTATTTCTCTAAAATAGCTTCAAGAAAACAAGAACTAGAACACACACACAAACATACATACACACACACAAATACACACACAAACACACATACACACACAAACACACACACATACACACAAACACACACACAACAAACACATATACACAAACACACACACACACCTCACACCCTTAGCAAAGATAGAAGACAGAAAATATCCAACTTCAAATGAGTAAAAGGAAAAATAACTGCTAACTTGGGCAACATCTCTTTTACTTCTAATGCTGGCCTCTACAAGGAAAAACACAGCAGCCCAAGATGGTCTAAATGTCTACCCCATTGGCTTGTGTTTTACTTCATACTTAACATCTCACAATATGTGAAATATCATAGTAAAAACACAGCATATTTTGTTGTAGTCTATAGCTAGAATATCATTATTTGTATGAACTCTCACCTCAAAAAAAGAAGTTTAGGGTACTTGGGAGGTAGAGGCAGGCAAATTTCTGTGAGTTTGAGGCCAGCCTGGTCTACATAGCAAGTTCCAGGACTACATAAACCCTGTCTCAAAAAAAAGAAAAGAAAAAAAGCAGTCTAGGGGACAGCAAATGGTTCCTCAGGTGAGAGCACCTGCCACCAAGCCTGATGACCTGAGTTTAATCCACAGGACCTGCATGGTGGATAAGAGGACCTACTACCTCAGGTTGACCTCTGACCTTCACATGTACAACATGGCATGCATGCACACCCACACAAAAATACACACACAAGGACACACACAAAGATACACACAGAGAATAATTTTGAATACAAGCAATGTTTACAATAATAGAGCAATCTTTGTCAATATGAGGCATAATTACAGAATAATAGTTTGAATTTAAATTAGAAATTAGTGTTTAACAAGACCTACTCTAGAAAAGCTACAAGCAATCAATGGTAACTGAAAGAAAGAGAACCAGTCTTCTCCAGGGTCAAGCCCTGGTAGGTTACCCAATCCAAAGAGGTCAGCCCTAAACATGTATGAGCAACACTAAATGATCTCAGCAGGTTGTACTCACAAATTTGCACACACACACACGCGCGCACACACACACACACACACACACACACACACACACACACACGCCAACGATAGTGAAAGAATAAGAGGCCATGAATTTCCGGAGTGGGAGGAAAGTGGCAGGGTTTGAGGAGGAGAGGGAAGGGAATGGTGTAAATACGAAATACATACGAAATGCTCAAAAAATAAATAGTTTAAAAGAAATTACTGTTTAAAAATCTATTTCCAAGCCAGGCATGGGGAAGCACACCTTTAATCCCAGCACTTGGGAGGCAGAGGCAGGTGGATCTCCGTGAGTTCAAGGCCAGCCTGGTCTACAAAATGAGTTCCAGGGCAGCCAGGGAAACCCTGACTCAAAAAAAAAAAAGGAAAAAATATCTATTTCTAATATATATGTGTATGCAGTTTTTAAATACTCAACATTTAAGTATAAATAAAAATTTTAATGCAAAAATGCTTATTTTAAATAATATGCATGTTAAATAATTTTAATATATACATATTAAATACTACATTCCACAAGCATTTGCTAGTTTTTCTCTAAAAGTTTTTCTTTTATCATATGAAGTTTTTTAAAATTTATTCTTCGATCAAATATTACATCCTGACTGAAGTTTCCCCTCCCTTCACTCCTCCCAGCCCCTCCCCCCACCTCTCGTCTCTGCCAAATTCACTCCTTCATTTACCTTCAGAAAAGGGCAGGCCTCCCAGGGATATCAACCAAACATGGCATAAACCCTCATGTCACATCTGGATGAATCATCTCAGTAAGAGGAAAGGGTCCCAAGAGAAGGCAAAGGAGTCAAAGATAGGCTCCGCTCCCACAGTTAGGAGTCCCACAAGAAGACTGAACTGCACAACCATAACATATATGCAGAAGACCTGGGTCAGACGTACACAGGCTCCCTGATTGTTGGTTCAGTCTCTGTGAGGCCCCATGAGCCCCGTTTAGTTGATTCTGTGGGCTGTGCTCTCATGCCCTCTGGCTCCTACAATCCTTCCTCCCCCTTTTCCGTGGAGTTCCCTGAGCTCTGCCTAATGTTTGGCTGTGGATCTCTGCATTTGCTCCTGTTAGTTGCTGGATGAAGCCTCTCTGATGACATCTGGGCTAGGCTCTGGTCTATGAGAACAGCAGAATATCATTAGGAGTCATTCCATTCACTTATTTATTTACTATTTATTTATTTGCCAGTCATGCTGGTTCTATCCTAGGTCTCTGGGCTACCCAGACTCTGGGTCTTGGCCGTCCAGGCAGTGGCAGAGTGGGCTGACACTTCCTGGAAGTAATTTTTTAATGTGTATCTATGTGAGTGAAAGCGAAGTATGTCTGGATGCCCTTGGAGACCCTGAAGATGTGGGATCCCTTGAAGCTGGAGTTACAAGTGGTTATGCAGCAAGTGCTCATCATACCTCCAGACTTCATATGAATCAAATTTTTAAAATTTATTTATTTGTATTTGATGTACATTGGTGTTTTTTCCACATGTATGTCTGTGTGAGAGTATTGGATACCCTGGAATTGGAGTTACAGACAGTTGTGAGCTGCCATGTGGGTGCTGGGAATTGAACCCAGGTCCTCTGGAAGAGTAGCCAGTGCTCTTAACCATTGAGCCATCTCTCCAGCCCCTGAAGTAAATTTTTATAAAA